GGGGGTGGGGGGGGGAATCACACATTGGCCTGTAAAAAAAAGACTTTCTAAAAAACACTGCTAAATAAATATACTTCAAAAGCTAACAAATATAATGAAAGGAATATAAGAAAAATGCTATGCGGCTGTTTAATAATTAGACAAAGTCAAATGTGTAAAAGCTTCATTGAACTTTTAGTTTTAATCAGCTAAATATGTTCCAGGCGCATCAAAATAAAAGGTGTGCAAAGTCTTAGTTTGTTTCTCTTAGTAAGTAATCACAGCCTACGTGGAAAAACCTGTCTCCTGACTGCAGAGAAGGAGCCTTGCTCTTTGGGTGGAGGCAGTGGTCTCTCTGCAGAGGTTTAATATGTGCACTGCTGAGTCAGAGCTAGAATTCTACAGTTAGCAAAGCTCATGCCTCTGCTGAATGGAGAGTTCTAGCTCTAACTCAGCAAGGAGCATGTCAGACTTCTGCAGAGAGACCACTGCTTTCACACACAAAGCAAGGATCCTTCTCTGCAGTATGCTGGCAGATGACAGGCTCTTCTCTTTCAGCTGATGCTTACCTTTGCTAAGCTTACCTGCCACTTTGTTCTCAGGGATCTCAGAATTACCCAATAGTTCTGTCCATAGGGCAGCATTTGACTTTCACCTCTTCCTCAGCAGCCAGCTGCCAGGCATGAGCACTGTCATACCATGGAAGAAAAAGGTCTTCAAAGTGATACTAAACTCAGAAGATAAATCTTAAAAATGCATTCAAGTACCTGAACTATTAACAATACTGGACCTTATATGTGTGTCACTTGGCTGTAGATCCTCAAATCATCTCTGAATTGGTGCTGCCACTGTCCTTCCTTCTGGAAAGTGGCTACCTTTGTTCTCCATGGTCACCGCTCCAAGCTCGCTCCTGTGATGGACTACAATCTCAAAACAAAGTAGTAAACTAAATGTGAGATTGTAGTCCATCACAGGAGCGAGCTTGGAGCGGTGACTACTTTACCACACACACAGGGACCATGGGGAACAAAAGTTGCCACCGTCCAAAAGGAAGGACAGTGTCAGCAGCAATTCAGAGATGATTTGACGATCTACAGCCGAAATAACAAATATGATACATTTTTTTTAAATAGTTAAGGTACTTGAATGCATTTTTAAGATTTAATCCCCGAGTTTAGTGTCAGTTTAACTTTGTACTTGCACATGGAGCTTACACAGGGATCAGATGTGGACCTCCAGCAGACAAACAGGGTAGCAGAGGACCTCAAAAATGGTGTCAGTAGTTGGAGTGCTGCCATATCAAGAGAACCTGTCACTTTACCCTAAATGGACAACAAGACAGATACACTTTAATCTTGACGTGGAAAGAAGTCAATGCGGTTTAACAGCCTGGACCTTAGATCCACCAGGATCTATGGGGCCACTAAGATTGATCTGAACAATATCAAAGCTGCCTGCAGGCACCACACACTTCAGCAATGCTGTTACCTTAGGCACGTTTTAGGCCAAGCCAGGTTCACTTTAAAGAACTCCAAATTAATATAACACTCACATAATCCTGTGTCTATATTTCAGCCATATATTCAGCTGCTTGACTCAAGCCATCCTTCATTTCATTCCGGTACTATCGCTGTCATCTGCAGTCCAGCACCTTGTCATGTGAGGTTGTCTTGCAAACTGTGTCACATAGTCAACAAAGACTAATGCACAACACAAAGGTATTAGTATGATTACATAAATACAAACAGGAGACAGAGGTAAACGCCTGCCAATAAGCAGAGTGTACCAGCTCGATGTAACCTTGGAAAAAAAACGACTATTATTTCACGTACAAGGATACAAAGCATTGGAAGCGACATTCTTTATCTGTCCACCTGGCAAAGCTGAATATACACTGTAGAGGCGGAAGGCTTTTTATTTTCATACCCTTTATGATTACCATTATAGACCAACTTCATTGTAACTAAGACATTAGTCTCACATCTTTATTGGAAGCACAATAATTCCCATCACAACCAACAGAAACTGCATGGTCAAAAAAAGTCACCCCAGGATTTAACTAGTAAAATAGGTCAGAGCCTTCCATTGGATAACAGGTCTAGGTTCAGAAATATTATATCCCCCAAAAAATGAGGTCAGCTGCCCACCTGAATATACTGAATGACCAGGTTTTTCCATCAATGGATCTTTTTCTACCATGATGGCACAGCCATACTCCAAGATGACAATGCCAGGATTCATCGGGCTCAGATTGTGAACGAGTGGTTTAGTTAGCATGAGACATAATTTTCACGCATGGATTGGCCACCACAGAGTCCAGACCTTAACCCCATTGAGAATCTTTGGGATGTGCTGGAGAAGACTTTACACAGTGGTCCGACTCTCCCACATCAATGAATGCAACTCTGGACAGAAATAAATGTTGTGGCATTGCATAAGCTTATTAAAACGATGCCATGGTGAATGCGTGCCATTTTTGGTAAAGAGCTGAACTCCAGCCCAAATTATTGCAACTTTGTATTTATTAATTAATCAATATTTAGGTTTTTTTAAATGCAAAGGGTAAGTACCTGAATTTGTCTCTGGCAGTCCCTGCACAGCACAGCAGAGCTCAGATTGAGGATGGGAGAAGCAGCACAAGTCAATCAGGTGTGTTGCAGTGAAAGGAGAATGCTGATAGGAGGTGGGAAGAGAATGGAGCAGAGTGACAAAGAGATTAGCTCATCAGTCAGCTGCTTCTTTTTAATGTGCAGTCACAGGCTTGGGGGAAGGACAAGACCTGTACGTGTTACTTAACTGCATAGGGAAAAATCTCTTCCCGTGACAGTCAGGGCTGTGCTGTGTTCAGGACTGTGTACATCTCAGGACTGTCTTTAGTTCCACTTTAACTAGCTTTTTTTTTATTTGTCTGGAGTTTACCATTAAACACGCCTGCGACTCTTTTTGTATGATGCCAGATGTAGCCAGAAAAAAATATTTACTCAGTAGCCGACGCGGCCTTCTCCCGCGCTCTGCCACTTGTCAGCTACGCTCCTCTTTGGTACTAAACAGCACACTTTGGCTCTTTGGAGTAGCCTAGTTAACTTTGATCTCTGCTTTCACAGTGATGAATGCTTGACCCGAAAAGCCAGCACACATAATAAAGTTTAAATTTCACATTCCGATGCGATTGCATGGACGGTTCTGCTCTCTCTGGCGTCTCGGACTGGAGATTGGGCAGAGGGAACGGTACCTGGTGTTGCTGGAGATGTGCGAGGTCCGCGGCACTTATGTCCAGGGAAGGCGTCTCTCCGTTCGAGCGCGTCTCTCGTAACGTGCACTCTAATAGGTGGTTACCGGCGCTTCCGCCGTTCTGCACGGCTGAGTCGTTAATTTTTGTCTCCGTCCCAGATTCTTGCATCATGACTCAAAGCCCTTTAAAAGACGAAAAAGGGGAGAGAGAGAGGGAGGGAAAAAAAATAAAACAGCTGTTAAAACAGTTAGTGCATTCTGAAGATACGTGCCCTGTTTAAAATCAGGCCCAAACTGTAAACATTTGTCATTTCCTTTCATACAATTTATCTTTCCTGAACGCTTCTTGCTAACCGTTACTGTTTATTTTGTTTAGCAGCTGTAAATGTAGCAAATTGAATTGCGGAGTTCTAAATGTAGCGGATCCTCGCCAACACTCACCCACTTTCTCTTTTTTCCTATT